ACCTATTATAAAATAAAAATTATTAAATTAAGAATAATAAATAATTAAAAATAACATAAGGTTGGAGTATAAAGATTTGASGTGATCTTTTATAGCTGTAGATGTTGATTTATTAATTTTGACTTCGTTGGTTTTAAAAATATCATGTAGGACTGGAAATACATCAAAGGAATCTTGTTCTTCTTTTAGAGCCCATCGTTGAAGTTTGATTATCATTGCATCAACTTTGACTTTCACATTAAACTTATGAACTTTCTTGCCTTCTAGAGTTAAATTAGGACGCCGAGGGCACCAAAAATATCCATCAAATATGCCAACCGTTTTAATCAGTTTTTATCAGTCACCAATTTTAACTAAGAACTTGCACATTTTCCATCATAATCTCATTCTATAGGATATATAGGATAACCCTAAGTTCATTGCGGAGTTGAAAAATCTTGATAAAACTTCTCGTCAACCAACGAACTTTACGGTGAAGCAGAAGCTGTTGATGTTTACTGCTCATTTCATGACACAAAACACCAAACAGGTTGGAATTTTAAGTCCTTGCTTTAATTAAGTTGACGATTTTAATTGAATTATTGGGAGATTTTTTCAGATACTCGACCATAACGTTAATTGCAAGAGTCTCTCTATGTATGCTACAATGTGTCTATTGAACTAAAGGAGTAACTGACCTCAATATGGTAATTAATCCAGTATACATATAAGACAAAGCATGTGCCCCATTAGTTGTCAAACCTACACACTTTGACCTATCTACTATCGTATCTTTCATAAAGCTGTCAACAGATTTGAAAATTTCTTAGCCAGTTGTTTTTGTCAAAAAAGACTGGAAAACAGCATTTCTTCTTCAATATTGTCGTTTAACTCAAAACGAACAAAATTTAATAAATTATCCTGGCCAGCAAGGTCAGTATTTTCATTAAGTATTGCAGCAAAAAATATTTACTTTGTTTCAAAACAGTAATAACAGTTATTTTCACATTTACTGACATTTCATTAACTCTTCTTTTTACAGTCATATTTAATAACAGAATTTCAATTATTATTATTTTTTGTACATTTTTCATGAAATAAAGCATTACTCATTATTTTTTCTGCTGGAACAATAAGTTGTTATCCCATGATGTGAGCTGACCCTTTCTTTGTGATTAACAATGAAAGCTCATAAGAAACTCAGGTACTTATGTTTTGTTTTGAAGATTTTTACGAGGTTGACTTAGTCATAGAAATTTTTTTTTCTTGGTTCGTAAGAAATTGAGAGTTTTTTTCTATATATTTAGAATGTTTAGTTTTGGAAGATTTCGTTGAGTTGGAGGAGCCAGTCCCCCTTAGGGAAATCGGTCAGTACTCAAAATTGACGAGGTTACAAATTCTAAAAAGTTGATTACAAATAGTTACAAATTGAGTTTTATAAGTTACAAATTGTTTTAGAAGATTTCGTTAAGTTGGAGGGGCCAGCCCCTCTTAGGGAAATCGGTCAGTACTCAAAATTGATGAGGTTACAAATTCTAAAAAGTTGGTTATAAATAGTTACAAATTGAGTTTTATAAGTTAAAAACTGTTTTGGAGGATTTTGTTGAGGTGGGGGGCATCGTGAAGTTATCCCCTCAATGAGAAATTATCCGTTGCTTGAAAAATATTAAGTTACAAATTCTAAAAAGTTGGTTACAAATGGTTACAAATGGTTACAAATGGTTACAAATTGAAAAAACAAGGTTACAACCATTTTTGAAAAGGTCTTATACACAGGGGGGGGGCTAACTTCACACACATTCAAAATTCTTAGAAAAATATTCTGCTTTAGAATATGAAATTAAAACTATGTTGTCATTCAAAAATGTAAAAAAACTTAAAAAATGATAAGGATAAAAAATATTTTAAAATATAATTTTTTAATAAAAACGTTTGTTTTTTAACAAATTGAAACTATGTAAAAAAATATTTTGAAAAAGTCAATACTTTTTTAAATAATGAGTGTTCTTCGATAAAAAAATCACCCTGTATATGTCTTAGGCCATAGGCCATATGGAATATCAGGTTTTTTGCAAAAAGACTAGGCCCTTTGCAATGGGGTAGCCCGTTTGTGAATTATTTATTAATTTTCCAAACAGCCTGATGTTTTTCAGGCTCATTGCATACAGAGTAACAGCAGTTAGGCCTTTTAAGAACTATTATTATTTTATGGTAATAATACAGTACATTTATGTATCATGTAAACTGAATAATTATATACGGTAGTTTATTACTTGTAAAGATGTTGACTATTGAATTACTAGTTTTATTATATATTTCTAACTAAAAAAAATATGTAAAATCATAAATTAAATTGAAATATCACAAAAAATATTACATTACAATATAAAATATTAAATAAAGTATTTATTTATTGTTAAACGTGGTTTTTGTCGTGGCATCTTGAGCTACACAGTACATTGTTTTTTTGGTAAGCGCATATCTTTGTTTTGCATGACGGAAAAATAGTAAGTAGTTCTTAAATTATTTACTTTTATTTTGTTAACTGTATAGTGTATACCTAATATTAAATACATTTTTAATAGACAATATTTTAAATTGTATTACCTAATCTAATAATTATGTATTTATTTAGAAAATTAGTGGTAAATAAATACCTAGATAAAAGTTAAATAACTGAACTAGCTAATATGTTTGTGGCTTTTAGAATTTAATGTAATGAATTTTACTTGCCAATTTTTCGTATTGGTCTTATCTCAAATTCATGTTATGTTTAAAATAAAAACAAAATATTAATTAAGACCGTTGAACTGAAACGCTTAGATGTTTGAAACTGTATGAGTGTGTGTATTGAAAAATCACTTGTCTTATATATTAAGTTGAGAAATTTAAGATACATTATCATATCAAAAATGTCCTTGTTGCACAACGTTCATATTATTAGTTTACCTTCTGTAGTAATGTGTAGAAAATAATGATGTTTTCAGTCGAGTACCTCATCTATATATCGAGTGTATGAAACTTATAAATTATAATATAATATATAATGAAATACGTGTTTTAATATTTAATAATTATGTAATGTAAAATGATAGTTTTTAGGCAGATACTTGAAGTAATCTTTTTTTAACATTCATAATGATTATACATGCGAGGTTTTCACCAAATGTAATCGTATAATTAATATCTGATGAATTTTTTTAATTACTACGTACCTACTTATCTCGCTTGACGTACGTTGTCTGTAATAAAGATTTTTTTTTTACAATTAGGTATGTTGCTAATGAGATCCTGTGTACTTTGTTGCCTGTTAAAATGCCAAATCTATTTACAGATTATCCCACTACTTATTGAATATTTGTCTCAATATATTTAGTTTACCGGTGTCTGATCATATTAATCCAGAGGTGACACCTGCATGCTCTTTTAGTGACACCACTGACACGATTAACTTTTTTTCATTCGTGCCATGGAATACATAGGAATACTTAGTATCTAATATCAGTGAAATACATAGGAATGTATTCAATTAAAAAAAAAAAAATGTTTAATCTAGCTGATATGTATAGAGAAATTAAAATCCTACCAGAATATTCTTATTTGACTGGTTTGGTAAACACAATGTCAAAAAAAGATTTTCTATTGGGTCATTGATACCTAATTTAAAATAACGCTTATATGCTTATATGTAGTATATTAACAATAATCATAATTAAACACTGATGAAACGTTATTGGTAAGATTGTTATAAGGAGTAAATGAGTAATGAGAATATTAAAAGCATTATATTATATTAAATTAAATTAAATTACATTTGTATTACACTGTACAAATAAGAGCTTCTTAAATGTTTTGAATTTAAATGATTTGATTGGTTATCTACCAACAAGTTTTTATATGCTGAAAAATATCTCTAACATCAACTGAGGCGATAGGAGCAGACTCGATTAATTTGATGGTGTGACAAAAAAATATATTTCAGCTGTCTAATTTAAATCCGGATTACTTGATTACTTGATGCAAGTTCAAAATGAAAATAATTTATATTACACTTGGTATTATGTAATACTAATATATCAATGATGTTAAAATTTTCATAAAAATTTAAAATGCATTAAAAACTTCAAAAAAGACAATATACAAAATATAAAATCGGCTAAAATTTAAAAAATGCTAGAACACAGAAMTCTTGAAACACATTTGTGTCTTGGAAAGTATGGTGTAAGATATTACAAAAAAAGATGCAAATGCATTGAAATTCGAACTCTAATAATTAAAGTACACTTAATTTATCAAGTATGAATGTATAAATATATTTTTTTATGTATCTAAACTTATTAAAATGTTGAAAACTATTTTTATTTTGTCAAGTATTTTATGATTTAGGTATTATTTTCTTCGAGTACTTCTTCCTCGGGATTTTTTTTCAAAATTTATCAAAAAAATAAAAATCGCATTGGAAATTAATAAAATCTGTAGACACTCTCTTAAATAAATTAATAAGTTAGCAAGATAAAATAGCAAGCCATTAATATTAATGAACAAAAATTAATAAGAATATTATTTGTATACGTAAAAATTGTTTGTTAAATTGAATATATTTTTTTTTTAATGTAGCTTGATTGGTATTGTAACTACCTATAGAAGAACTAAATACACTTTCATTAAATACAAAAGCATATATATATATTATAAAAAATAAATTTACATACAGATAAAAGGTTATAAAATATTTTTTAGTCTTAAATAAATATTCTTTATAGGTACTGAAAAGCATTAATTGTTTAGTGACCACCAAACAAATGGAAATAACGAAACCGGTGTTTTGTCTAGATGTTTATTAGTGATATTTGGAAATTCTATTTTAATAATACCAATTTATAGAAAGTCTAGAATTTCACAAAATCCAAATTATAAACATATTAATATGTATAAATCAAAGAAGTCTAAAAAATAAACAATTTGAATAAAATTGTATGGTATTAATTATATTTGTGAACATAATATTTGAATGCACATGTCTGATTATCAGATTACCTGATGACCGCTTGATGATGGTCACTTAATTTATCACCACCTGATTTTTCCAACATTTTTTCAACTTCCATTTGTGTATTTTGGTGGATGTCACAAGTCTAACGAAAAAAAAGTACATAAATAAACTAATATTCAAACAAAATATTAAGTAAGACAATGAATACAAAAAAGGTGATGACATGTTAAGTTTGGTACTACGGTAAACCATTGGTAAATTTAATTCAAAATGATAGGAATCATTTTATGGTTTTTAAGAGGACGTCATACTCKCTTGCGTTGTTTTTGTCTTATTTACGCATCAGTGGCGCTGAACCCTATGTTCAGGTAGGGCAACCGCACGATCTATGAAAGTGGGTGCGTGGGTCGTAGATGGTTAGGATGGTTGTGGATAGGGGTAGGATATGATTAAGATGTATAAAAATAATTCATATAAGGAGAAATCAAATATAAATATTCCCGATTATCAAAAACCTATGCGAATACTTGATTTAGTTATATAGGTGTCTCTGGGTGGGGTGGGTATTAATTTTTGTATTTTGCCCTTCCTATAAAAATTGAGTTCAGCGCCACTATGACGCATAGTATACTAAAACGTACGTCCAAATTTTCCAATTTTGTATCTTTGGCTTAAATAAAGTTAATTATCTTATTATCAAATATTAAAGAATATTATCTGTGTTTTTTGTTGATTTTACGATATTTTATTTTTTAGTGAAGTATGATCAATTCTAAATCTTAATATTTTACATACCCATAATTCTGTTTTAAAAATAAATCATTTTAAAAATCAACAAGATAACACAGATATTGTTCTTACATTAAAGTTTGATAAAAGGTCAATGTACTCTAATATTTTAAGCCAACAACGAAAAATTAGAAGTGCTGGATAGACATCTTGATATAGTATGCATTAGTAAAACAAAGACAATGCAAGTGATTACAACGTCCTTTTAAATACATTACACAATTCACAAAATATGATAAACCTCAGTAGTGTAAGTAATTTTCTTATTATTGAAATTTATAAAAAAAACAAATTAATTAATTTTTAAAATGTTTAATTGGTATAAAATACACATTAAATATAATCATTTACTTGTTAAAATTAAAACCGAATAGGTATAAAAAAATATCTGCAAATTCTAACCTACCAGTTAATAACTTGGTAAATTCAGAAATTTAAGAATAAATTAATGTTTTCATCCAAATATTGTTATAATACCTAAATTTTTAATTTCGAGCAAATAACTTAAAATTGTTGTATTTTGGGTGTTGCGTAATATTACGTCTTAACTCTTAATATATATTTTCATGGACATAAAACTTACAAACTTCAATCGACTTAATGAAACTAAAACTATAAGGTATATCTCTTATTATAAACTAACTCATCATTAAATATATTAAAAGTAATAAATTTGAAAAACGACTTATTGTATCTTTCGTTCATAAGCAGGTAAACTGTAAAATTCTTTTTCTTTTTTGATAAATTAAAAAATCATAAATATTTACTTTGAAAATAAATTACATGACTCATAAAAGTGTTAGATTATTTTTCTCAAACAAATAATTATATTTATATCTTGATAATTGAATATGTTACTTTTGATTGTTCTTCATCAACATCTGGCACTTCCAGGTGAATTTTTAACTGGCATAACTTTTCTAGCACAGCAATACCTTGAAAATTAAATAAACATCATGTWATTCAAATATATTTTTGAGATAAATTAATTTCTTAAAAGTGTGCAGTAATAGTTCTTACCTTCTTCTCTGTTGTTACCATATTTGCATTCCCATGCATCAAGGAGCATATTATAATATCTGGAGCTATCAAAGTATTTATGATACTTGAAAGATGAAGTGGTTGGAAATACTTTTTGAAATCTATAATCATAAAAACCTTAAAGTATAGTTTTGTCTTACATATTAAATTATAAATATAGAGACTAGAGAGGAAAAATGTATCAATGAAATATATACGAGCCAATTTGTGTAAGTTCATCTTCATATGCAATAAGTTGTCGAACATCATCTGGTAATAGATCATCTAATATGCTATCAATATACTAAAAAAAAGATAAGTTTACAATTGATTTATATTTGTAATTGTAATTATTAATTTTTACTTCTGCTCTGGATTCCATATTTATATAATATTCTTGTTTTTCTTTTTCTTTTGCGGATAAATTGAATGTATATAATCTTTTGTCATAACATAGTGTTGATTTGACTCCTAACACTTTGAGTAATGTACTCTACCAAACATTTAAATTTGATAAAACATATTGAGGGTTCATTATAAAAATTTGTCATTCAATTAAATGTATATATTTTTTTATTGTTATTATAAAGTGTTCCTGATATATATATATATATATATATGGTTATCAAACTTATTGATAAGATAATAACAATATTTAACATTTAGAATAATTTGTAAGCGTAATTAATTACAATATTTACAACAAATTTCAGTAATTTACATCGATTAATAAATATATGATGGTACAAGAAAAAAATAGTTTATTTCTAGGTGTAGAATATTTTTCCTTTTTTTTTATTAATATATTATTGGTGTTGACATAGGACTTCATGTGGACGCCTACGTTTGAGACACCGGAGGGTAGGCGTCACTGAGTTTGAAGTGTTTTGAGCTTTTGGCGTTGTTTAATTGGCCAAACAAATTTATTGTGAGATTTTGTATGTAGGTAAGTTTTAATAGTTGGGAGTTTGAAGTCGGTATAAACTATAAAGTGTTTAGTTTCTAATGAACCTATGCGCGTTGGATATTATACGTAATATTTTGGATTGAAGACTTGCATATTATTTATGTGGGTTTTGGCACAGTTTCCCCAGTTAGGGACAGCATAGATAACTAATGGTCGTAGAATTTGATTGTAAAGAAACAGGGAGCAATTCCAACTTAATGTKKTTTGACGGCTGATTAAGGGGTAAATAATGTTGACTCGTTGTTGTAGCCTTGTTGTAGTTTTGAAGAAATGTGCGGGTTCCAAGTTAATTTTTTATCTAAGATAAACTACTAGGTATTTTATAGTTGGAGATCAGGATATTTTGTCATCTTTGAGTACTGAAGAGGGAGTGGTTTTGGGACGGTGAAGTGTGAATAATACTGCTGTCCTTTTGGGGCTTAATACAATTTTCCAGTTTTTCACCCAGCACTTTATTTTGTTTAAGTGGCTCTGTATATTTTCATTGACTATGTAGGCGTAATTGGAGCTTGAATTGACAACACTGTCGTATGCGTAAAGTAAAACTTCTGTGTTAGATGTAGTAGGAAAGTCTACGATATATAAATTAAAAAGCGGGGAAAAAAATGTTGGATCCTTGGGAAATATTGGCTGCTATTTTTTTTGATTACTGAGTTGATGTCATTGAAAAATACGATTAGAGAGGAAAGATTTGGAGATTGCAGGATGGGTATTTAATGTTTTTAATTTGAACAGTAGGCCGTCGTGCCTGACACGATCAAATGCTTGGGCAATATCTAAAAACTCTGCAGTAGTGTGAAGTTTTTTTCCAAATCCATTGTTTATGTGTTCAGTTAGGCGTAGAGTTGTTGAGTAGATGGGTGTTTTGTTTTAAAACTAAATTGATGATGCGGAATGGCTTCAGTTGCATCTAGATGGTTTATTAACCTGATGTATATGAGTTTTTCGAATATCTTGGAGACTGAAGATTACGACCAGACTTATGAGCTGGTAACTGTTAGGATTTGTGTTATATTTTCCAAGTTTTTTTTATCATTAAAAATCAGACATTTTTCAATTCAGTTGGAAAATGGCCGATTTTTAATATTGCATTCAATAAAATAGACAAATAAGTGATTTCTTTTTTTGAGGATTTTTTTTCTAATAAAGCATCTGTGATTAGATCATGTCCTGGAGATTATTTGTTAGGTCATATTTTTATTATTTCCTTAATTTCGGTAGGAATGGTATAGGGAAGAGTGTTTTGAAGAATAATATCGGGTTCAGCTAGTTTGTTGTACACMGTAGTTTTTATTCCGATATTTATAATATTGTTCGGTGAGAAATTATTTACTAGAGTTTTGGCAAAAAGTTCACATTTTCAACATTTGAGCTTGGGTAGATGTTATTCGAGTTTAACAGAGGTAAAAAACCAGCGTTTGGTTTCGTTAATCATCTGGTAGAGAGCCATAAGTTTGAGTAAGWAGGATGAATTGTGGATACATAATTTTTGTATGATGGTATTSTCTGTTCTTCGAATACTTTTTTGACTTTTTTAGTGAGATAATTTAGATTTTTCTGGTCTTCAGTTCGCCTATAGAGTTATCACAGTCTGATGGTCTATTCTTATTATAATGGTCATTGTAARTGTTCAAAAAAGCATTTCTGTTTTATTTAAGGCCATTGGTATTCCAATTTATGATAAATAAATTTGCATTATTAATTATATAGAAGTTGACTGCCAATTATTTGACTTAATAACGTTGGGATATATTSGATGAATTTTACCATAATTTCTTGTAATAGAGAATTTATGGTAGGCATTAGTAGTTGTAGAAGCTCGCTTTGGATATTTAATTGCGAGGGAGGTGGTTGCTGATATCTGTAGGTTTTCGCTTTTGTTATCTCTGCATTAGACTGTTTGTATTTATTACTTATGGTAAGTGGGATTGTGCTATTATTAGAAAGGTGATTAGATGCAACATTTTGTGACGTAAATGGGYGATTGTTGCTATATATGTCAACTTTGGTATCAGGCAGATTTGGGTAGTAGAGTTTTTCGAATTTGTTTTGCGAGATTTATTCTAAGTAGTGTATAAGCTGTGCAACCTCGGTAATTGGTTGGGTGATTCCCTAGACAATCTATACTGGTAGGCGGAGGGTGGATGATTCTTTTGTGCAGGTGGAATARTGATGATCTCCCGATCATTTTACGCATATGGGCGGTAGTTTRCAGCAATTCAATATTAAATCTATATTTGTATAATAAATTATAACTTACATGTGTACTACGTGACATTTTGTTTGGGATATGATAACCAGCCATATTCATGAGATCTTTGACTAATGGTCCTTTGACAGCCAAGTCAAGCGGAGAAGATGAATGTAACGACGGAGATATATTGACCTAATATATTACATGTTTTATTAATCAATTATTCAATGGTATAAACTTTTTTTTTTACTTTTTACTTTTTAATTAATATACAATATATATATATATATAATATGCAACACCCCAAAAGGCAAGGGTATAGTATTGAAAGAATAAAAGTATCAATAAATTTACACATGAAGACAAGTTAAAAAATCTGAGAACAAAGTAAATATCAATATTAAAATTATAAATATATGTTTTTTAGCTTAGAACAGGAATCGAAAAAAAATCTAAATCAGGAGACACCAATTTTTGAAGTAATTGTTATCAGAATGAAGCATTTAAAAGRGATATAATCTGGAGTTAAAAGAGGGTACCTTAAGACCAATTTTTATTAAATACTCAGGACAGTCAATAAAACCATACAAGATTTTTGATGCATCAAAGTGACATCAAACATCACCTGTCTTGATTTCAGCCCGCAAAGTTTGCAATATCATCCAAGCTATGAAAATAATATTTAGTTTTAAAAGCAGAAAATCGCGAAATTTTTTTTTGAATTTTTCTAATATTTTAATTAAACCAGATTGATTAGGATTCCACAAAACCGTACCGTATTCGATAATGGTGTTACTAGTGAACAGTACAGTACCTTCATACATGAAATATCATTAAGCTCAGAGGAGGTGCGTTTAATGAACTCTAGAACACGTAGACTTTTACAATACATTGAATATAGGATAAGTCAGCTGACAGGCTAATACTTAGATCTCAAACTTGACTGATAGATTCTAAAGWAGACCGTTAATAAAATACTCACATTCAATATGAGATCTAGAACGGTTAAAGGAAATGCAAAAATATTTTGAGATATTTAAAAACATGCCATTTAATGAGCACCAGATAGAAAATTGATCCTAATCATGTTGCAGGAAAGTAGTATCATTAAATTAATGGATTGGTAAGAATATTTTCATAAAWTAAAACTACAGTAGTAAAACTTACACAATTAAAAATAATTATTTAGGTCGTTTATAAATAAGATGAAAAGCAGTGGGGGATAAATGATCACCTTGTGGAACACCTGACAGGACCTTGATTGTTTTAGAAATTGAGTTTTTGATCTTAACTAGTCAAGACCAACTGTTTAAATAAGAAGAAAATTAAGATAATAATGGATATCGTATTACCCATTTTACTTAATTTTACTAAAAGGAGACCATTGTCTACCTTATCAAAAGCTTTAGGAAGGTTAGCATAAATAGCATTGACTTGACCACGTGATGTAACGATTTCTACTAGAAACGAATAGAATACTAATGCATTAGTTATCGTAGATTTAGCTCGACAGAAATCATGTAGTACACTAACAAGACAGTGCACGAGTGAATAATTCCATTAATTATCAACAAACTTACACATCGGGGTGACTGTCCATRCTTCTGGAAATGTTCCAGATTTTAATGAAAGATTAAATAAATTTATGTATGGGTTTAGTTAAAGCTCAGCGGAAATTATATTGCAAAATAAAAGTGATAGAATCAGGRCTGGATGAAGAGGCGCAATTTAATGTGGATAAAGAATAAAATACCTCACTAACTGAAATATCGAACATATTAATATCAACACAGTCATAGATATTACTTGATACAGCATCATTAAATGTAATAGGTTTCTTATATATCGAACATTTCCCTATTCATYAAATGCATTAGTAACTTYTAAGTTGTTGTTAACAGTTTTAACAGAAAGGTTAACAGAAACTGGGATATCAGTATTATTTTTTGATTTATTAATAAAATTTCAGAAATATTTAGGATTGGTAATATGTAATTTTTGAATCTGGAAAAAGTGATCATAGTGGTATTTATTGATTAATAGCTTACAATGCTTTCGTAAGTTAGAGAAAATTATGTAATCTGAATGCGAATTGGAGGCTCTGTATTTTCTGTAGATAGCATACATACTTCTTAGGGTCTTGCAAAAATCAGCTGAAAACCAGCTTGGGTAAGTTTGTATATTAAAAAATATATTTGGGTACATTCTTGTTGATAACTTTCAATAAAATGGGATAGAATTTATTCATTAGTGGAGAAATCAATGCATTTCGAATTATACAGATTACACYAGTCACTATTACATAAAACCCTCGTAATTAAATTAAAATCAGTTCTCTTAAAATTATATAAATAACTTTCTGCACGAAGATGATGAAATCTCATATTCCCAACTAATCTCAAGAACTGCATGGTAAACATCAATAGGTACTAGTTCTTCAAGTCATCCGGATACATAAATATTAGTTATGTTATAGAAAATCAAGTCTAATAGTGAGTGATAAGATAATATTGCAAAAATCCATTATCAGAGTAAATACMAAATAACGCGTCGGAGCATTTTTACAACAAATTAGTTTGTAATTTTAATTACCTCTAATATCCAAGGTTTAAGATATTCATCAAACAAAACATCTATTCCAAATAACTCGTATGCGTTATATCTATTGCTAAGATTTGAGCTACACATTTGATTCATAGGTGATTCTCCACTAATGACAGTTTTTACAACTATATCTTCTAGGCTTTTCCACAATTTTTTTACATCAATCTTACGTTCTTTCTCCATGTATGTCCATAACGAACGTAATGTCCTAAGTTATTGTAATTAATTAATAATTCAATTATTTTAAATTTAGACCCTAATATTAAAATCTAAAATAAATTTACTTATTACAATATATTTACCATTTATGACCTTGACATGCGTTAGCATCTTCRTTTTCAGTATATTGACTACTAAGTCTGTTAATACTGTAGTTTGTCAAATGCATATATCTATCACATATAGTGTTAAGATCAGATGAGTACTTGACTGAAATATTTATAATTATTAAATTATAGTTATTAATGATATAACAAAAATTATTGTACCTGAAGCAAATCGTACAAGCCCATTATCATAAAGATACAGCCGAAGTGGATTGATTGAAGTGATAAGTATATAGAGTCTTAAATCAAATTTGGTGTCATTAATTAAATATGGATTATCTATGTATCTTTGTACAACTAAAGGTATTTTCTTTGGTAGTTGAGCCCATTTTGATATAACACGGATTCCAGATCCTCTAGCAGATGCTGGCTATAAATAAAACAAAAATT